GTTGTCGCATCATTTGTCCCTTTGCGTTTCGAATTTATTGCTTCGTACTTGGATTTAAATTCGTTCGAAAAGAAGTCACCACGTACGACAACGAAAATCGAAGAAGACACGACAATAGCTGCTGTGGAAAAAAAATGAGGAACACCTCATTGAAGCAAATCGTTCACCGAAATGTCATGAATATATGAGCCCTTGGCTTTCTCAGACTTGTTATTTCCAGCTGTAATTTCTGTCAAAAAGTACATCATGTTTTCAAAGGCTTATTGTGTTACAAAGCATAACTGACTGGTTACTAATGGTGAGTGGGATTTGAATTCTGTTCGTATTGATAAGGTTTAGGACAGCTTGTACAATGAATGACTATGTTCTGAATTGTTTAATTTCCCAGCAACAACTGAGTCTTAGGATGGGAGTTTTCGTCGCATTGTGTCTCGTGGCTGGAGGGAGGAGGGGGCACTCTGCAAAAAGGCCTCTAGGACTAGCCTAGGCTGCAGGAACGATTTCAGAGGAATACGCAGATTGCTTTCGCACACGGAATCCTGTCCGAGCCTTAGTCCTGAAATTGAGCGTTTTTCCGTAATCCTCACCCAATGGCCGATGTCAGACTCTGCGATTGGAGCGATTGGGTCAAATGTGAATCGCGCGATTCGCGCGATGGTCGCGCGATTGGCACATTTTGCACCAAAGGGAAAGAGGGGCGTCTCGCGATGCGAGCGACGGGTGGTTTACGGCGGATGGCGCCGAATTGCCGTTGGTTGGCGTGGTAATTCTCCCGGGCCTCGCATCGGCGCGCCCCCATCGATCGATACGTTTACTGGCGTATCGATCGAGTGGGGCGCGCCGATGCGAGGGGCGGGAGATTTACCACGCCAACCAACGGCAATTCGGCGCCATCCGCCGTAAACCACCCGTCGCTCGCATCGCGAGACGCCCCTCTTTCCCTTTGGTGCAAAATGTGCCAATCGCGCGACCATCGCGCGAATCGCGCGATGGTCGCGCGATTCACATTTGACCCAATCGCTCCAATCGCAGAGTCTGACATCGGCCAATGTTAAATGCTGCCTCCCCCTCCCCCTCAAGCCACAGAGACCACCAATAGGAACCAAATTTGCGCACCTTACTCTACAAGCAGTGCGTTGATCGCATAGTTCACACTGTGAGGGACGTCTTGCGAAAGCCTCTTCGGTACAGGCATGATTGGGTACAGGCATGACGCGCTCCAGGGCGAAGGCCGCGACGCGACCGCTTACTGTCCGGCAATGTCTATTATGCCGTTTAAGTTCTTCTATCGGATAGGAAGGTCGACATGTCTAATGCTGTGCAATCCTAACGATAATTACGATCGGAGATCCTCCCAGACAAGTCTGGTACCAATTACCGACCCCGGAGGGATGGAAGGCTTGGTTGGCCCGGGCGACTCACGACCCAGGATTTGATCCCCGGACCGCTCGCGTGGTAAGCGTGCCACTTGCCACTACACCACTTCCGCCCCCTAGTGTTTAGATACTGAAGAGAAAGCCGAAAAGGAATCAGAGGTATGTTGCCTGAACGAATTGACACGATGTTATTCCCCATCAACTACGCTTGCTACAAAATTTTTTTTCTTTTTCTTCTAAATTTCTAATTGTTAGAGTGAGCAGTAAATAAGTAGGAAATACCAATAAAATTATGGGTGTCACGAGAGACAATAACAGTTGCTGATGGTGGATAATTCGCAATCAGCTCCGCAGGCGCTGGTCTAAACGGGAAGACTTTGAAAATCCCGCGCGATCGCGATTGGCCGATGTCAGACTCTGCGATTGGAGCGATCGGGTCAAATCGCGCGATTCGCGCGACGATCGCGCGATTGACATGAGTCCCATCATGACCAATCGCTCCAATCGCGCGATGGGCGCGATCACTCCCGTTGTGGCTGGCGCGCCCCCTCGATCGATACGTTGACTGAGGTATCGATCGAGTGGGCGCGCCCTGCCACAACGGGAGTGATCGCGCCCATCGCGCGATTGGAGCGATTGGTCATGATGGGACTCATGTCAATCGCGCGAAACTCCGGATCGCCGCGAGTCGCCGCGCCATGCTACCCGCAATTGACGTTTGACCCAATCGCTCCAATCGCAGAGTCTGACATCGGCCATTGGGTTAAATTGTTGTACGTAGGCAGCGCATATCCCAATGAATTTTTCAGTGGGCGCGGCCAAAATTTTCACATTTGGCGCCTGCTATCCTTTAGCATGGATTTTGTAAAGAAATGGAGACACTAATGATTTCCAAAGAAAGAATTAGGAGACGAGTCGGAAGCTAAAGAGTATTTTGGAACTCATCATTCAGAACATGAGCGAATGCAACGTCGTCTGCGGCGCTTCTTCACGCTCGCATCGTGGATCTCCCTCAGCTCTCCACTTCACAATTTTTTACGGGCCTTCTTTTGAGGAGGAATCCACCAAAAGGTCGGAGGTTGAAGAAGGTTTTCTCAAACGTAAGAACGTATCTAGCGGAAGGACATGTTCACCCCTTGGGTTGCGGACCGGCACACAATCTGCAGTCGTATGCCGCCGGCGATTAAGCATGGCCGTCCTCGCGCCGCTGTCGATGCGACACGCTCACGACTTGCTAACCACTCGCCGCAGGTCTCTAGCCGTTCAGCAGAGAGAGCGTTAGCGTTGAAGAGGGCAACGATGAGAGTCGCATCAATGCGGAAATCAACGGGCAAGAGGTGGGTTTCATTTTTCCGCTTTGTTCCGTTTCCCATGGTGTTTTCTTCCATGCCGACCACCTCTACCTCAACTCTAATGAGCTGCATTCTAATCATAAACGTCGCCTTTGAAGGAGTGTTCACACGACGTCTCACCATCAGCGCTGGAGGGGCTCGTATAATATCCCCAATCACCACGACTGCTTCTATAGCATTTGAATCCGACACTGCCCCCGAAATTTATCCAGAACCGTCTTTAAGAATACATCTGCTCTCGAAACTGCAGACGCACGTATTTCAGCGCTTATGAGATAGGACCCGTAGAAAGCTACTGTATTATTAAGATAAAGCACAACATCGTAGCATTCGCATTCGGCGAAAACGTGCAAAACAACCAAAAGCAGAGCCATGAAACTAATCAGTGATGTTCTTTCGTCATTATTACTTTGCTTCCATTTCGCAAGAAATTACCGGGTTAGAATTCAAAAAAGGGTACTGAGCCCGTTTTCATCCTCATTATTCTCAATTTGTACGACGTGAATATGATTTGAAATTAAGGGTCGACTGGAGTAAGGTTCGATGATGACGATGGATTCTGAAAAACTCCTATTTTGGCTTTATAAATTCGCCCACCTTGATTTTCCAATTTCTGAGCGCCATATCTGAGTAAACTTACAATAAGCAAGTATTTGACAAACAAGGCGTTGTAGAGCAGAAGAAGTACTTTCAAATGATATGTGTGATTTCCTGGGTAATACTTGTATTTACTCAATTTGTAGGTCGACTAAAAACCGCTGAGATATTGAGTTTCAACCCAATACGAAAACGGCCCTCATCTTACACCACAAATAGTCCTATATAGGCCACTCTTTGCGGCCCTTCAACAAATTCAAATGCACCACAATTCAAAAACGCAACCTCCTTCACGCCGTAATGGTACGACATTCTCCATGGCAGACCTGGCACAATGGTCTGTTTAAAATAATTCACAGCTTTTCCGCCCCTCTTATAACATCCATCAGCTGCGCGACTTTCACAAATGCCTCCTGAGTTCTGTCTGAAGAGAAGATTCGTAGAACTGGGCACTCGACGTCAGCGATGAGTCATGTTACATTTGCTACGTGCAATATTGAACCCGCGAAGGACTGGTGCGTTAACAAAACCTCTTCATGAGTCTGACACGTCAGTGATAATAGGCTAGACAGCCAGAGAGCAGTGACGCCTGATAAGTAGTACCTTGTGACTGGACGGGATTAACTTTCAAAAGGGATCATGAAACAAAAGGTGTGAAAGGAGAGAAGAAAACAGGAAAAGACCTAAGCCTGAAGCAGCAGAACAGCGGGATTATAGCAGCGTGACTGCATTCCAGCCGCATTCGAAATTTTTATCATCACGTGAGGGGCCAGCACATGTGTTATCTTGATACTTGTGTTAGATTAATCAGAAACTCTCAAGAAGGAAGAGGGGAAAAACACTCAAGCACTTCTTATTGATTTCTTTTATCGACCGCATAATGCGGAACTAATCATAACAAGCCGACCAATTTTTTTTTCAAATTCCACCATCAATCGAGGCAAAGTAGAGAATGCGGGACGGCAACCTATTTAAGCACTTTTCGTGTGAGGTGTTAATTCAGCTCACGGCACTCAAATATTATGTTTTTCCAAGAGTGCTCAAATCTACTCATGGTGACAGCTATGTAGAGTTGCTCACTTATAATAGCTCAGCACCTATAAGTCCGTTCGATCACTGTGGTCTGAATCATTGTATTATTTTATGGCTACTGCTCTTCGTGGCAATGTGAAGCAAGGGATGGGAATATCCAAAAGCCCAATAAAAAAGTTTCTGAGATTCTCACAGAGATATTTCAGCTGACGAAGCGTATTTTTGGGTGCATTGTACCGATATTTCATTTTTAACAATAACACAGTTTTGTATAAATTGCTCACCAATATCCACAATCCATGGTCCTCCTGAAAAGGGAACATCCTTTGATCATTTTCCTTCCACTGGAGAAAACAATAAATCAACTGAGGACTGTCCCTTTGTTCAGAGAAGTTCGTATTTGCCTGGGAGAAAAATAGCTGTAGGTGAAACATCGGCATGCCATTCGTGGCTACTTATGAAACAGCCACATATGTCATCGCAACTCATTGTGTAGGTCAGATACTCATTTCGTTACCTCCGCAACTACCAAAGGCGATTACAGACATGGAACGCTTGAATTTTACTGAGCAACCGAGGTGTCCATGTTTCTTTTTAAATATTTTCAACACTGGCCAATGCTGTATCCTTTTAGAAAGCAATAATGCGCCTTCTTATACTAGCTGTGTTATGTGGTCTTGCCACGGCAGCGGTTTACCGGCATCCAATGCTGTGGAAGAAATCAAGAAAGGTGAGCAATTATAAAATAAACCTAAGAAATCGGAGTTTTCACTTTTGCTTTACATATTTCACATTCATTGTCTCAGTGCAAATCCAGCCAGGACATTCCATTGCTTCTCAAATTTTTAGGATAAATCATAGCGCTCATATTCTGTAATCGACTCATTTGAATTGTTCCTCTGATAAGATGATGTTCCTCCAGTATGGAGTGCAAGAAATCAGATGTGCCCCACTACTAGGCCTCCAACGGTCCAAGGAAACGGTCATGAACGAGGGGAATGGAGATTTTTGGCTCAAAGGTGAAAGAGCTCCACGGTGGATGACACTGTGCAAAAAGCTGGATAGCATGTGGGCAGGAGATGTGGATTGTAGCAGTCCACGGTTCTTATGCAGAAGGCACTGCGAATAAGCCGTTCACATATCATCTTACCCATATTGTGAGAGCCCAAAGGAGTGCCCTCCAGGACTAAGGATAATACAGCAAGGAGTGCTCCCTCCAAACTGGGTTTTCATCCTTAGTCTACAAGCGACTTAGAAAGTGCCGATGATATTCACGCTAGAATTGAAAGAGAAAGAGAATCGAATTATGTGTGAATTTGATTACATTAGTTTTACTTGCACTATTTTTTAATAGCGCGCTCTTGACTGCAATAAATAAACGAGTAAGAAACTCCAGCATGAAGAGGATAAGAAATCAAAGCATTCGTTCAGATCCAAATGATTGAACGAGGAGTCTACGCCCAGTACCTTCAACGACTTGAATCACTACGCTATGTTATGAACCTTGACACGATGGGACAACGGGTTAGTGGTTCTCTTGAAGGTCTCTCAGAATTTAGAATGTTTTCAAAAATGGATCCAAATAAATTAAACCCACTCCTAGAACTTGTGTGCGGTTTCCATGATGAGTGACAAGGGGATCGACTCTCACTCTGAGATAGTTGAAACTCGCCAGATGTCGGGCTGAGACGATTCCGTTCAAATGTTGAGAGGGGAGATTCTTTCCACATGAATCCACTGACAACGGCTTTACCTTTAAGAAACATCCTTAAACTCGCCATAGAAGCGAGGAGAAAGGCCGTGCAAAGTAAATGTGCTACTTGTATGTCACACAATGACCTCACCTCTTCTTAGGACTACGAGTACGTAGGAAACATTACCATCGGTACACCTGGTCAGCCGTTCGTCGTGGTACTTGACACCGGTTCTGCTAACCTATGGGTCCCACATACAAAATGCGAGTGAGTATTCATAAGTGATCTTTTTTGATTTATTAGCGAGCGGTGCAATTTGTACAAGGTACATCAGTTACATTGCAATAGCCGGCAGGAAAGCATAATGTAGGGGAAACAAAGCTTATTTACTTCAAAGCAATCGGCTAGTACAAAACATACTTAGCGATTAGATGGTCTAGAGAGCAATTCTCTCCGTGAGTGAGGATAGAAGGTCTCTAAGCACCATCGATCATTATTGGATGCTGAATATGTTAGGAATTCTGACTGTATTGCCTACGCCACTCACGCTGGTTCTGAATCTTTCATCTTCAGGAAAGCATTTCGGCTTACCTGTAGAGGTAGCATGTTTCGTTGCAGTTCGTAGAACGCTTTAGGGGATAGCTAAGGGCACAATCCGGGCAGAGGCTGGGTGACCGGTTTCCTTTAGTCTGAGGGGTTGTGACGCTTCCGCGCATATAATGGGCCCGAAAAGGGTGCGAGATCTGTAAAAAGCTCCAACAGCTTAAAGGCAAGATTCGGGATAAAATAGGTGTGGAAAAGCGTTCAGTTATGAAGCTATAGGTGGGAGGTGGTCTGTAAAAGAGAAGGAAAGCAAACGAAACCACCGATTACGCCCCGTACAGAGACCTCCCCTATTTCAGCGCATTCCACCTTTAACACGTGGCAACCGACAGCGGAGGGTGGGGCTTGCGGACGAAGGTGTGAGTTGCGGGGGACGAGCTCCTTGCGCCTTTGTCGCGCACTTTCAAGCGGCAAAAGGGGCGCGACATCAACGCTTGTCCGCCTGCCTACTACCCCCGGGATGGAACAGGCGAGCGCGCCTAGTCCCGGAGCGTGCCCTTAAATCCCCCGTCCTGAACGATGTCTGGCGCTCTCCCGTCTGTTGCGCTCTCTCACCTCATTCTTTGTACTCAGTCTCTCTTCGCCTTAGCGGAGCCGAATCACGAGAGTGAGGAAATCCCTAACTTCAGTGTTTTCGACAAGTCTCCTGCTTTTTTCTCGACCTGCCATCATTTCACAGCAATGCTTCCATACGCGCATGCAAAAACTACATCAGTTTGATCCAGGAGCTTGCCCGAAGTGTCATCAACGAGCATTACCCAGGTTCAACAGATCCCAGCCATTCACAATGAGATGCACACCGACCTCGAGACACTGATTCCTCAGTCAAGATTATGTCAAATATCTGCAAAATGTCACAAAGCGAATTGGGTCTTCATAGAAGCAATAAAGGTCTCAGATGCTAGTTGGCCCGACCATACACTTGGGTCAAAAATAAGTAAAGTGGAATCACTCCTCGGGCCAGTTTGCTTTGCTAATTTAGAAACCTCGCTACAAGGCCCTCGTTACAAAGGTCTGCAAGATCTCGTTATCCAACGTTTGTGTCCAAAGAGTATGCGAGAAGTTTAAATTTATTTGTGCCCACGGCTGCCACGAGTTGCCGAAGGCAAATAACTTGATAGAAACTTCTTCCAAACTCTTCCAATGAAAACGGTGATGGAATTAATTTCGTTGGAAGGCCTTCTTATTCATTAGGTTGCTTTCAAAGGTGTAAACTCCTCAAGAATTTGATCCCACTACCTCCGAATCGGAGCATTAACACTGCGTTCTTCTGCTTTAGAACTCCGTTAAAAAACCTTCCACTCCCAGTTACCGAAAAGCAAGATTCCCAGTCTTCAGTCGTCTTGAGACGTAGCGCGCGCAGGCACCTCATTGGATTGTCAATCCTACCACCCCTCTACTAAAGGCACGAGTCGGGATTGAATTGATGCGTTATTTTGTTCAAACATTAGGCAAGGGGTGCAATGAGGAACATTAGTGAGGAGAAAAAGCAAAAAGCACCATAGAAAACACTAAATTTCCCTTAGGAGGCCGGCCGTAGTACGACGGAGAGACACAGCGCTGCGAGGAGAGGGAGAACGCGAGAGTACGTCGTACGCGAGAGGACGCAGAGACCACGTATGCCGTGGTGGATTACGCTGGCAGCGCGCGGGCAGCGCGTACGGCAATTAACCAGGAAGGTCTTTCAGGGCGTGACGAGCTTTTTGAAAACGGTCTTTTGCATGATATAGGGGCAGATGCGGGGACCACAGAACCATGTTAATTTTTCCTGAACGGCCCTCTGAATACCAGAAAAGGGGGTCCCTAGTTCGATTCCTCTTGGTGACAAATTTTTGCATTTCGAGTTGACGTTCCAAAATTCGCGCAAAATGGAGTTAGCATGAATAATTAGTACCATATTCATGATTAGGGCCGTCAGTAACCCTTACAAAAAGACTTTGACTTAAAAATTGGTGTAAGAGGTGTGACATCAAGCAGCCCCACTGTGGTGTCACACCTTTTTCACCAGTTTTTTAATCAAAGTCTATTTGTAAGGGTTACTGACGGTCCTAATCATGAGTATGGTACTGATTATTCATGCTAACTCCATTTTGCGCGAATTTTGGCACGTCAACCGAAATGCAAAAATTTAATGTTACCCCACATGAATCGGAATAAAACTGAATATGGGACCTCACGTTGCCTTGGTATTGCATGAGGGGGTCCATTTTCAGAAAAATTGGAAACATGGGCTGTGCTTCCCGCATCTTGCCCCTAAAATCATTGAAAGACATCGTCTTCTTTTCAAAAATTCTGACTTGAATCACCCCCTTGAAAGACCTTCCTTGTCTTAGCTGCCAATTGTCCGCTACTTTGTGTAAAATTGTCAGCGATTAGAAGCGCGGTCAGCGGCTTTCACATTGATGCAGTGGAGCCGACCAATCCCACCCTGAAGAGCTAAGAACTTCCTCTCCGGGTTGGCCTAGTCCGACTCTCCTAGAGGCAACCCCGGGCCCACTCCCCGACTGTGCCTTCATGCGCTCTGTAAGCGGACAGTTGGCTGACCCAGAACGACCTGAAAGTGGAAAGGAAAGCAAGAGAAATCCTTGGGAACGCTGCAATTAAGGCATCTTAACCTTTAGTAGGGTAGAGAATGTGGTACGATGGCGAGAAAGGGCGGTCAAAGAAGGCACGAAAATACATCGAGAGAGCACGTCGTTCGAGAGAGCACCTGGGGCTTCCCCATCTTCACATCGATGGCACGCTGATCTTCAACCATCTCTCGCCGGGGGTAAGGGGAGCGTTGGAAATTGAGGATCGATTGTGCCCTCGGCCCGTAAGATAGCGCCCCTAAAAGCGCGCGACCGAAAGCCCTGAAGTGACAGATAGTTATCTTCCACTAAAATTCTTACTAATACTTAGTACAAACCGTATCGCGGGCGTGGCTTTGCCCGCTGGGGTCCCAACTGTCTTCTTTCCATCTTCTCGTCTTGATCTATGTGTCCAAAATTGCGGGAAAAAAAAACCCAAAAGGGGGGGGGGGACCCCCCAAAACAACCCGCCTTAAGGACCGGGATCAAACATGTTGTTGCGATATGCTAGAGAGTCTGCCCAACGTACTGGAGGACGGCCGGGTGGTCGTTTCTTTTCGCGCGGGCACCATCGCACAGTTGCAGCACTCCATCTGCCATCATTTCTCCTCATCAAATGACCAGCGAATCTGTGTTTTGCCTCATCGACGTGAAGGAGGGCGTCTTTCACTTTCGATATGGCCCTGATGTCCGAATTGTGAAGTTCTAGTTCTCGTTGTCGTCTCAAAGTGAAACCCACTAAACGGCGTTCGATCGATGCCTGGGCGGACTTCAATTGTTTTTCTAAGGACTTAGTTAGAGTCCAAGTTTCTCCTGCGTATGTAAGAGCAGGTAGAACCGTTGAGTTGAATAGGTCCGCACGCAGTTTGCTATCCCTAGTATCCTCGGTAACACTTCTTATGGATTTGAAGGCAGCCCAGCCAGCTCTGCGGCGTCTGTTTAGCTCTCCAGACAGGTCATTCTTCATGTTCAGCTGGCTCCCGAGGTATATGTATTCTTTGACGTCTTCGATGGGGCTTCCATTTAAGAGAACAGCGTTGCCATCTGTGAACGAATTCCGCATCACCTTTGTTTTTGAGGTGTTGATAACTAGACCATAATGACTTCCTTCTTCGTCCAGATGATCGTAGCATCTCTGAGGCGTGTTGCGAAGATTCTGTGATCAGGACTATGTCATCAGCAAAACGCAGATGATTGAGACGTGTACCATCGACATCCACTCCAAAGTTGCTCCATTCGCAGCGGCGTATACGGACTCAAGGCATGCAGTGAAAAGATTAGGAGATATTGGGTCACCTTGTCTTACTCCTTTTTCTACTGCAACCACGACGTCTTTGTGGAACGGATGAAATATGTTGTGCAGTCCGTGTAGCACTCTCGTAACACTTTCACGTATATCTCTTCAACTCCTTGATCTTTTAATGCGTTCCAGACCATCGCTGGCTCCACTGAATCAAACGCTTTTTTGTAGTCGATGAAGGTCATTACAGCGGTAAGTGATATTCGCGCGATGCTTCAATAACTCGTCGACAGGTTACAATATGATCGAGTGTGCTGAAGTTTCGACGGAAGCCTGCCTTGTTCTACTGGCTGAGCTTCTTCCAATGTTCTTCGGATA